CACCTCACCAGTGATAACTTCACCAGGGTGTACACCTCACCAGTGATAACTTCACCGGGGTGTACACCTCACCAGTGATAACTTCACCGGGGTGTACACCTCACCAGTGATAACTTCACCGGGGTGTACACCTCACCAGTGATAACTTCACCAGGGTGTACACCTCACCAGTGATAACTTCACCAGGGTGTACACCTCACCAGTGATAACTTCACCAGGGTGTACACCTCACCAGTGTTAACTTCACCAGGGTGTACACCTCACCAGTGTTAACTTCACCAGGGTGTACACCTCACCAGTGTTAACTTCACCAGGGTGTACACCTCACCAGTGTTAACTTCACCAGGGTGTACACCTCACCAGTGTTAACTTCACCAGGGTGTACACCTCACCAGTGTTAACTTCACCAGGGTGTACACCTCACCAGTGTTAACTTCACCAGGGTGTACACCTCACCAGTGTTAACTTCACCAGGGTGTACACCTCACCAGTGTTAACTTCACCAGGGTGTACACCTCACCAGTGTTAACTTCACCAGGGTGTACACCTCACCAGTGTTAACTTCACCAGGGTGTACACCTCACCAGTGTTAACTTCACCAGGGTGTACACCTCACCAGTGTTAACTTCACCAGGGTGTACACCTCACCAGTGTTAACTTCACCAGGGTGTACACCTCACCAGTGTTAACTTCACCAGGGTGTACACCTCACCAGTGTTAACTTCACCAGGGTGTACACCTCACCAGTGTTAACTTCACCAGGGTGTACACCTCACCAGTGCTGACGTCCACAGTGTTGACGTACTCAGTGTTGACGTACTCAGTGTTGACGTCCACAGTGTTGACGTACTCAGTGTTGACGTACTCAGTGTTGACGTCCACAGTGTTGACGTCCACAGTGTTGACGTCCACAGTGTTGACGTACTCAGTGTTGACGTCCACAGTGTTGACGTCCACAGTGTTGACGTCCACAGTGTTGACGTACACAGTGTTGACGTACTCAGTGTTGATGTACTCAGTGTTGACGTCCACAGTGTTGACGTCCACAGTGTTGACGTCCACAGTGTTGACGTACTCAGTGTTGACGTCCACAGTGCCTACGTACACAGTGTTGACGTCCACAGTGTTGACGTCCACAGTGTTGACGTCCACAGTGTTGACGTCCACAGTGTTGACGTCCACAGTGTTGACGTACACAGTGTTGACGTACTCAGTGTTGACGTACACAGTGTTGACGTACTCAGTGTTGACGTACTCAGTGTTGACGTCCACAGTGTTGACGTCCACAGTGTTGACGTCCACAGTGTTGACGTCCACAGTATTGACGTCCACAGTGTTGACGTACTCAGTGTTGACGTCCACAGTGTTGACGTCCACAGTGTTGACGTCCACAGTGTTGACGTACTCAGTGTTGACGTCCACAGTGTTGACGTACACAGTGTTGACGTCCACAGTGTTGACGTCCACAGTGTTGATGTCCACAGTGTTGACGTCCACAGTGTTGACGTCCACAGTGTTGACGTCCACAGTGTTGACGTCCACAGTGTTGACGTACTCAGTGTTGACGTCCACAGTGTTGACGTCCACAGGGTTGATGTCCACAGTGTTGACGTCCACAGTGTTGACGTCCACAGTGTTGACGTACTCAGTGTTGACGTCCACAGTGTTGACGTACACAGTGTTGACGTACTCAGTGTTGACGTACTCAGTGTTGACGTACTCAGTGTTGACGTCCACAGTGTTGACGTCCACAGTGTTGACGTACTCAGTGTTGACGTCCACAGTGCCTACGTACACAGTGTTGACGTCCACAGTGTTGACGTCCACAGTGTTGACGTCCACAGTGTTGACGTCCACAGTGTTGACGTCCACAGTGTTGACGTACACAGTGTTGACGTACTCAGTGTTGACGTACTCAGTGTTGACGTCCACAGTGTTGACGTCCAAAGTGTTGACGTCCACAGTGTTGACGTACTCAGTGTTGACGTCCACAGTGTTGACGTCCACAGTCTTGACGTCCACAGTGTTGACGTACACAGTGTTGACGTACTCAGTGTTGATGTACTCAGTGTTGACGTCCACAGTGTTGACGTCCACAGTGTTGACGCCACAGTGTTGGCTTTCTCAGTGTTGACGTCCACAGTGTTGACGTACACAGTGTTGACGTCCACAGTGTTGACGTCCACAGTGTTGACGTACACAGTGTTGACGTACTCAGTGTTGACGTCCACAGTGTTGACGTCCACAGTGTTTACGTCCACAGTGTTGACGTCCACAGTGTTGACGTACACAGTGTTGACGTCCACAGTGTTGACGTCCACAGTGTTGACGTACACAGTGTTGACGTACTCAGTGTTGACGTCCATAGTTTTGACGTACACAGTGTTGACGTCCACAGTGTTGACGTCCACAGTGTTGACGTCCACAGTGTTGACGTCCACAGTGTTGACGTACTCAGTGTTGACGTCCACACTGTTGACGTACACAGTGTTGACGTACT